TTGCTTTCATTTCAGGAATAAACCAGTGGAACCAAATGGAATTAAATTGGAGAAGTTTGTCTTTGATGTCTTTGAGTTCACAGAGTAAGATTTGCTTCAATTACAATAATATTACCAACATGATGGAAAATAGGTTAGGAAAAGAAAACATTTACATATCTTCTTTTAATTTTCATGAACTGCTGCATCTATATTCCTTGTGAAAGAATCTTTGATAGTAATTACTTGAGAAGTACAGTCAAACTGCAAGAATTGCAGCATTTGTGATAGAGTAGCATAATTGAATAAAATCTTGCATTCTGATTGGTTAACATAGCCAGGTATTTAGTGTGGAGTTGTGAGTTGAAAACAAAGCTAAGTGATATTGTTTTGCATCTCTTGTTCGTACTCCAGATAAAAACAAACAATATTTTTGCTATTTTCTTTTTTATTATTAATTTCGTATGCAATATTGGTTTTCAAGTACAGTTTAGGGCAGAATTCCCTTTTCAGGTAATGAACACTTGCTAGTAGATTAATACTTTTATGGAATGACAAGGACACATCGAAACCAGTCGCTAGATATTTTAATTTACCTGATCATTCTAAGCAATATTTGGCAATCTGCGGTCTTTCCTTACACTTAGGTAGCACGGAAAGCGGTAAAACTCTTGAACAAGAGCTCATCTTTCAAACCGGCAGTCTAAATCCCATGGGGATCAACGAACGCTTTTCGTTCCACTAATTTATTCGTGTTTTTCTCGTTGCCATGTTCCCACCAATCACATAGCTCCATTTTCTGCCTTTAAAAGCACACACAACCCACAATTCCTCTATTCGCTCCAACAAAGGGCTAACACTTGAAATGTCAGCTTTTGTAATCGTTACGGTGGCCAATTTACCATTTCAACTTTGTTGATATAATTTTTTTTTATCCAAATTATTTCGTTACCCCCACTGATGCAGCCCCAAACAGTTTCTTTAGAAACTATCAGCCTTTAATACTTTTCTGGTTCCCTTAAGATCTTGGAAGTGAAAGGGGTGCTTATTTGTCATTGAATAAAATAATATGAAAAATTATTATTGAATCAGTAGTAGTTGTAAACTGATATGCACTTGTGTTATTCATGGTATTTTCATCTTTTGATTTATTACAATTATAGGAAACTTGCTCTTCTGGAAGTTGCTAGAGAAGATGAATTTTCTCCCCTAAAAAATGCTAGGGGCTCACCAAAGGACAGTCCAGAAACAGCACTCGGGGACTTGTCGAATTTACATTTTAGATACCTAACCAAAGCTGGTGCCAAGTTCATAGACAACAATGGGTAAGACCTTGAGAGCTCTTTTCTAAACAGTTGTAAAATGTCCAGCCTGTATCAGGCTCTCAGAGATACTGTGGCCAAATGGTGACCTCGCTGGACAACGAGTTGAGAATTTTAGAGTGGAGCCTTGGCTTGGTGGGGTCATTGTGTAGTGCTTTTGGACATGGTACATAACTCTCATGCCTCTCTCCACATGGGAGTATTAATTAAAAGGAGGGGGGCATTGGGATTTTTGGTTTTGGGGTTTTGGTTGTTTTTTAGATTGGTTTTTCAGTTTTTTTTTTTTTACCAAAAAACTTTGATTTTGGTGTTCATTGCAGTTTGCAGATTTTCCAAATTTTAGGATTTGGTTTTGAGTTCTTGTGAAGAATACTAAAATTAATGGGATTTTTGGATTTGGTATCTGATGTAGACTTTTGGTTTTTCCTATTTGGGTTTCGGTTCCACTGCAGTCTGAGCAGCCATTATGCCCCTCCAGTTGTCACCACAGCATGGGATTGATTAGGGTTTTGAAAACTGGGATGTGAAAAAAATTTTTGGTTTTGCATGCAATTTTGGAATTTTGATCAAATTTTATTTCGCAGTTTGGTGTTTTTGGTTGATTTTTTCTATGGTTTGGGGTCTGTAATAGACCCCAAATCTCCACTCTTTAGAGATGGCAGCAAATTGTCAGGGAAATCTGTTCAAATGCCATTGGAGGGAGGGGGTTGCATCTACTTGATATATGAAAGCTAGGATAATATTAGGCAAGCATGGGCTACTAGGCTTTTTTGACTCACCTTGCATGCTTTCTGTGTTTTCCCCCTTAAGACTGAGTACCCAGAGTGGGAATTTAAATTTCAAATTAATTTCAATTGAAATATTTTCACCAAACAAACAAAAGGAATCTTTGTGAGAACACACCAGTGCAGTGATTTCCAACCCTTTTTATCCAGTTTGAATAAGTTTGCCTGCCTTTTCTTTCTGGTTTTACATGTAGGGCCACATCTGTAGTCTGTGAAATTTCTCCTCTTCTTTCCTAAGCAGGAGAGGTGAGTAATATCTTCCAATTAGTAAACAAGTTATAGGTAAAGAGTAACTAGCATGTAATTTCTCCTAACAATATCACCCTTGAATCACACATCAGGTCAAATTCTCCTTTCTGCACCTTAGGAAATGTACAGTATGGCAAATTTGCCTTATTAGGTTAAAGTGAAAGGGTTACCGGTAATCCAACTGTGTTCCTGGTACCAAAGACGTGACAGGCTGAAGGAGGGAATTCTACCCATGCACGTTTTGAGAATTATCTGAAAATTAGATTTTAAAAATGTGTAGCTTTCCAAATCCCAAACATCTGACCTTGCCAAAAAAAAAAAAAAAAAAAAAAAAAAAAAAATAGCACATATTGGTTGCTTCCATAGAAATGGTGATAAAACAAAGTGGAATTAACCATTTTTAATTCCACATTCTAAGCAGGATATGAATGTCTTGCGTCACTTTTTGTTTAGTACCATAGTGAGGGTTTTTCATGCTGCTTTTCTTTTTGATATCTTCTTTTATTTTAGGGATTAGAGGATAAAGTGAAAGGCAAAGAATTTTCTGCAGCAAATGAAATTTACCTCCCAGCAGATGGAGAAGATAAAACAGAAGAACCAGCAGCCAAGAAAAGCAGAGAATGCTGATATTGTTTTCAAAATTGTCACTTAATCATTGGACAGCCCATGACATTTGCTCTGTTAATTCCTTCATCAATGGAGTCAGTGATCATCAGTCACAAGGTGGCCACTTGAAAATCAAGCTTTTTCATGATTGTAGGTACTTTGGTGTGGTTTTCATTCGATTTTCCCAATCATCTCAATAAAAAAAAGAAATTTCTCAATGGTCCTGGGGGGTCAGTGATACTATACCTTGTGTTCCCACATAATCTTGCCAATGGTTTGGAAGCTTTCTTGATGTGATGGTCCAGATGATCTTATGGAAACCAGACAAAAGGCAGAAACATTAACTCAGATGCTTGCAGAACCACATCAGGCTGGTGTTTAATTGGTGACCAAAGCAAAATATCAAGAAATGAATACAAAAAATATCTTGAAGGAATTTCCTGAATGTTAAACAAAGAAAGTTAGTTGATAGTCTTTGAAGCACATACCTGTAGCAATTCTTTTTCTTTGAGCGAGGTACAATTTGTGGTGATAAGTTATTGAGCACTTAGAAAATTGTCAATGCATAAAATGTGTGAAAGCTGTTAAATTTTGATTGGGGAAAGAGCAGTGGTCATGCTGTTGCAATCAGGTTAGAAATCAAAGAAGAGTTTAGGAATATGATACAATCCAAAATATGAACAATATCAATCAATCGATATGTTCTGAACACTTAATAGCAACAGAAAGTTTAGTCTGGTAGTATTTGTAAATCAGAATGATTATTGTGGAATGAGAACGTACACTGAAGGCCCAACCATTTAGACCCATGTGCTATCTGCTTTCAATGTTTGTGTTCAAAGTGATATGCTGTTAATGTGAATAAGAGATTTTTCCAATTTAAAAATTCATGGGAATTAGGATGTGGGGAATGGTATTTTAATAAAAATAAACAGAAGAAAAAATTATTTTTGCCATTTCCTCTGCCATAGATGCAAACTTACTATTGAATTTTATTTGCTAAGGAGATGTGTGACTGGTTTTAATCGCTCTGCTCAAACAGGAAGATATAAATATAACTTTTTCACAAATGTAGATTTTGTTCTAAATTCTTGCTTTTTGGCATTCTCGGTTCTTAAGGCTATGGTTACATTGCATCGCATGCAATGCATTTGGAAGTTGGTAAGTTGATGTTGTAGTGGCCCCACTGTCAGTCTATTTAACTAGCCTCAAGTCATTAACAATTCTATACCAGTCATCACACCAGTATCTTTTTTCAGTAAAAAAGGGAAGTGAAAAAAAGATTTTCTTTAGGTGACAGGCACCCAAATGTACTGTGTGTGATTTTGAGGTCTTACAGACATTAACGGGAATACCTAACACCTCAAGATTAAATTTCAGGCGTAAGCATCTGCCGTAAAAGAGGAAAATTATAAAAATATGTATATAAAAAAAATAAAAAGGATAATAAAAGTGAGGAATATAACGTTTTAAGTCTCCTTAAGCACTCTCTCGTTCACCAGTCTTCCACAGTTCTTGTAAGCTACTCCCTTACTCTTGCATTTAAATTGAAATATGGCCAATTCAACTTCCTAATGTCTCCTGGTCGCCGAAGATTGGTTTGAGGTCTGGGGAGAGAAGGTTGAATCCTCTGGAGATCTGGGGTTGAGTACCCCAAATTGCTGCATCCAGATTTGAAAAGTACATGTAAAGCAGAATGTAAACAACAAGCTGACATGGAGTTATGGTTTGAATGGGGAGAAAATAACGAGGAACATTTATCCTTTGACGACAGCGATCGTTTTGAGGAAGATTCACTTTGTTCTTGGGCCTCAGAGCCAGAGAGTCTTTGTGGAAAGTGGCAAGGCTGGAAGCGGAGTTCTCAAAATGGCGTCCAATGTGATTCAGACTTAGGTGAAGGCACAGTCGAATCTCTCATTGAAATTTGCGCTAGGACAGTAGCTGAACATTTTCCTTTTGAAACTGTTGAGTGCAGATTTCCTCAGATTCCTGAGCAGCTCCAGCAAAGAATTGCTTTTTGGTCATTTCCGCTCCTTGAAGAAGACATTCGACTGTATTCGTGTTTAGCAAATGGTTCTCCGGATAAATTTCTTGAAGGGGAACAACTTCTCAAAGTGCAGGCAGTTAAAGATATACTGCAGATTGGTAAGTGAGTGAAGACTTCGCCTATAGCCGATTTTACCTGTGTAAGCCGTGCGGCTGTACCTCATGTCCTGAAATAGTTTGGCTGACATAAAATTAATCAATATAATAATTTATGTTGGTCATTTGAAATCACACCTTGTTTGAAGCATTCTGTTCTTGAGAGGGTATTCTTTATCTAAATTTTGTCCATTTTTTTTAATCAAACTCATGAAACGCTTCCTCAAAAATCTCTTTGAATAAAAACCCTTTATAACTCTGAGACCTATATATCTTATTAGACGTTTTGGTGTGTAGTATCGCGGAGTATTTTTACGAGTTGTGCCATATTTTGACAAGACCGAAGAGTGAGTCAAAATACAAATAACGAGTAAATATACTAAGAGGTACTACGCAACAAAATGTCCATCAAGGTATATATTATTCAACACCCCAAACTATAATTTCAGTGCAAGCAAATTTTGTGGATATTTATTTACAAGGATTGCGGGACAGAAGTATGCAGAGCGGAACAGGATTGGCGCATTGTCATGTTATTGTTTCTATTTTCTTCAGTAAACAATAAAATTTCTGTCTAATTGCTTTTCTTCATTCTATTTATCTAATAAACTTGGATTAATATTTGCCAGCGATTTTGACTCTTTGTCATCAGAAAAATGATTTAAATTGTCTGCCATTTTTTTTGTAACTTCAATCTAATTAGTCACTTGCGTGATGCGAGAAAACCTGTCTAACTGGTTCTCTGAAGTACAAATACTGCGTGATGTTTGTACTTGTCTTGGGTGTTATTTGTACTCTGTGGAGTTTAGTTGGACAATAAGAGTACTTATTCCCCTTACTGGTGATTGTGTATTTTTAACTTACCAGTCCTTGACCTTCAGCCAAATATTGTCCTGTCCCACCCATCCCACCCAATAAATATATCTTCTTAGATGTTTTGTTGTGTAGTATCGCTGAGTATTTTTATGCATTTTGCTGTATTTTGACGAGCCCTACGAACAACGAGTAGAAATGCTCAGCAATACTATGCAACAAAGTGTTTGGTAAGAGATCCAACATGCCAAATTGTTCTTTCAGTGCGGGTGGATTCAGGGATATTTCTGGAGTACAAATATGGTGCCATATTTGTACTCATCTTGTGTGTTATTTGTACTCTATGAAGCACAGTTGGAATAAGTACATATACTTTTCATCTTCTTTCTCCTTAAAGACGTTTTAGAAGTGTAAGGAGAAGTTAGTTTTTGGTGACTCTTGAGGATGCAAAGATGAACTGACTGTCAAACTATGTACTTGATAGTTTGTTAATTGATTGTGGATCCTTTATTAATTGGTCTACATATCAATTGAGTGTTGTCGGCTAAGATGTTTAATGATAAGTTGTTGATCAAGTCCTATATAAACTGGCAATTGATACATGTTGCACATTTATCAAAGACTCTCTTATTGATATCATGCAGTGAAAAAACTATGTGGAAAAATGAACTTGTTGATGAACACTCCAACAAAGGAAATATGATTAAATTGTCATTTTTTCCATTCAACTCACTACTTTTCCATACTTAACTTTTTCACCTTATTCATTGACTTCTTGACAGACAACTTGGAGTTACAGTTGCCCAGGACTGCAGCTCAAAATCTTTTCTTTATAACCCTCCTCCAAAATGGCTGGCATGATTATTTTCCCTTTATGATTATACAAATACACTTTTTAGCCTTGGTTTTAAATGAAAATTGTATTGCGACAAGGCTTGAAAGACTTAGATGCATTCATGTGATAACAGGACAAATAGGCCTGTCATATATGGTGGAATTTACTAATAAGTTACCTTTCCTATTAATTTTGCACGATCTTTCCTTTGCAGGTTTTCATCTAAGTGCCACAGTACACCAACCTCACAGTAGTTGCCAAAACAAAGGACTATTTAATGTTGCTGTCACATTTGACAGAGGGCATATAACCTCTTGTACCTGTACTTGCAATCAAACTGCAACCTGGTGTTCTCATGTGATTGCCTTATGCCTTTTTCGAATACACTTCCCAAAGATGGTTTGCCTAAGAGCTCCAGTATCAGAATACTTATCTCGTTTGAGACGAGATCAGCTTCAGAAGTTTGCTCAGTATCTCATCACTGAACTGCCACAACAGGTAACAATAAAATACATCTCTCAAAGATTAAAATTTCTTTGCACTGATACAGAAACCACATCTTAGCAAGTACAGAGACGTGGATGATGAAAAATAATGTTCAATTGTTCAATTGTCAAATTGTCATCAATGATGTTTTAATATATGGCTTTTGAATTTGGGAGCCTGTTTGTATGTTAACTTGGTTTTGTTTGTCTTGGCTTTTAACACAAAGCTTCTCCCAACTGCACAAAGGCTTCTTGATGAGCTACTTTCTTCACAAGAGTCCACCATCAACTCTGTCCCAGGTGCTCCTGGTGAGTGTTGATAATGTCATCAGTTGGTGGCTGTTTCTCATTTTATTGTTTGAACTAGCATAAATCTTGAATAATATTATAATTATGGTAATGTCAAGTGTACATATCACTCTAAATTGTGTACACTAACTGCTCGTGGAAGCATTTTTGTGAAACTTTTCATAGAATGAAGTTCCAGCCACTGCTTTTTGTGGGAAACAGTTTCATTCAAAGACTAACTTTCCCCCTCTCCTTAGTATTTCATCAGGATTCTCTTTTTGATGAACCCCTTTACACTTCCTGGGTGGAAAGTGGCATTGCAGGAGAGAGTGAAGTGTATGTTCTTAGAACTCAACCCAAGACCTTTCTATAGACCTGGATTGCAGTGTGCCAACCCTGAAACTGCTGACAATCCCCATTTTTTTCAACAAATATGTTAAAGACAACACTGCAGTCAGCTGTCAAACTTATTAAAAAGAGGCAGACTGTGCAATATTACTTTGTTTACAGGAGGTATTCACTGTGTTTGCCTTGATCGCTAATTAAAACTAACTTTCATACAGTGCATGGCAAACCAGCTGAACAACAGTGCTAACATGCCCTTCAATGTGAATCAGACAAACTATGACATTCTTAACAATTAAACAGTTCCAAGGAATGATATGTTTTGGCCTGGAAGGATCCTTACTTATGCAGTGTATCCAGCCACAATGTGTTCTTAGACAGACTTGCATACTTTTAAAAGGTCAACTTCATTCATCATTGAATGATATTTTTTTCTCCCCCTTGTGTGTTTCATTAGATCCCACAGCAGGGCCATCAGCCACAGATCATTCAAAATGGTGCTTGGATGAAAGTTCTCTTCATGAGAACATCAAGAAGATGCTTTTGAGATTTTGTGGCCCAAGTCCTTTGGTATTTAGTGATGTGAATGCACTCTATCTAGCTAACACTGCTCCACCCACAGCTGCAGAATGGTAAGATACATGTTGGTTTACTTTTTCGATTACTTTTTTAATTAGTAATGGGTTAATTTACTGAATAGTTTGATAATTTTGTGGTAGATTTATTTTGTGGATTGGCAATTTTTTGTGTTTTTCAATTTCTGTTAAAAATTAATTTTTGCAATTTGTGTTATTTTTAAAAAGCAGAGTATGAACATATCTAACATGAAAAGAAAAATAATTTTCATCGTTTTTTTTTTCCTGTCAGCTGTTGAATTGTACAGAGAGGAGTTACTCAGTACATGATTACTTATTTCCAGCAAGTTCACGCACATGCATGAAAAGTACTTAGTGGCACATAGTTTGCATCCAGATATTTATATGACTGGAGGCAGTTGCTTTGCAGTGTGCACATGTGTACAGGTTTTTGTGTGTGGTTTTATTTTATTTTATTTTTTTTTTTGTAAGAGTGAGTATTTTCATGGATCATGGATAATCAAGTTCAACCAAATCCACTAAATTTAAAAGCCCCAAAATTTCTACATTACACAGCAGATCCTGTTAAACTTTTGATACCTTACTTTTCAGTTGCAGCCGCTACTTTAAAACTTACAAGATACCCTGCATAGTCTATCACTGTATAATTTTTCTCCATTGGAAATCTTTGATATCCTCAAAAATATGATCTCACAAAATTTTTATGTTTCACAGTAGATTCAGACTGTTAACTTTCAAACCTCAGGTGCCTAACTCATCCCTTACAACCTTTGCATCAAAACATTAGGAAACCCTGCATCATTTGTTCCTACATCATTGCACAATTTTTTTTATTATTATTCTCATGCATTGGATGTACAGGTCAAACATCCTCAGACCCTTACAAGGACGAGAGCCTGAGGGAATGTGGAACCTTCTCTCCATTGTTCGAGAACTCTTCCACAGAGGTGACATGAATGCAGTGAATCTTCTGGTCATTCTCACAGAGGAATGTTTAGCCATTGATCAGGTGCTGATTTGGTGGTATGACAGTCGCAGTCAAGCTTCTGGGAATTATCCTCATAGTTATGGAAATAATTACAGGGGAAATACCAATACTGCAAGCACAGAAGCAACTAAGCATGCTTGTGCTGGATTTTGTGACGAACTTGTAGCATTGTGGAGACTGGCAGCTTTGAATCCCAAGTTATCAGATGATGAGAGGGAAGAATTAAAGATCCAGCTGCAAGAGTGGCATCAAAAAGCTGTGGATAAAGGACAAACAGGTAATGGCAAGGTGCTAAAAACGAAACAATATCATGATTTGTGAGTAGTGTGAGGGTAATAAGTTTGACAAAGCTGAAGGGTAAGGCAAATAATTGACAACAGATTCAATGACAAATATTGATATTTCGTGATAGCCAAGTTCCAAAATTATTTTATCATTCTATTGTTGAGGTAAATTTTTACAATCCCATGTGCATGGTTCTTGTTTCATAGTCATATAATTTCCACTGGAAATCCCATGGGCAAAAAGTTATTCTTCTTTCATTTCCATTCCTCTTTTTATATAGTAAGTACTTATGGGAGATTGTTCAAATGTATAAGAAATTACACGCTCAGACCGGGAAATACAATCTATGCTCTCTGCGAGAAGTGTGTGGGTCCTTTAGTGTCCCCTGCTAAGCAGCACAGAGAAACGGCAGGAGACGGGCCTATGGTTTACCTTCCTTATCTAAGAAAACTTAGGGCTCAACACTAGCTTTTCAACTTATTAGCCAAGTGGCTATAGTGTCATCTTAGATGTTTCGACAATTTCAGTTTGTTTACCAGCCAAACTGGCTGGCGGAACTCGGAAACCACGAGCCAAAACTGAATTTCTACTAGTCTGTGGCTAATTGGCTACCGTTAGTGTGGAGCCCTGAAAACTACAATCTCTTACATTCTCCTCAGTTTTTTTAAGACCCTAAGTGTTTGGTCCGGTCTAGGGCTCTCGACCTCCCGCACAGCAGTCCGGTGGTCTACAATATGAGGTAACCAAGCCCAGTTAGTTTTTTTTCGAAAGTAATGAATTTATTGTACTGACAGACATGAGGAAGATACGAGGATGATTGACTGGAGTATTAGAGAATAACCCTGAATGTCACTTTTTCTTCAGGGCGAGGTGCAAGTCTTACGATTCCACCTGCAGCAATATCGTGCTTTCCTGGTTTTCTTTCCGCAATAGAGGTTTGCTCTCTCAACTGGAAAAATGAGGATTTAGGTTTAGTCTCCAAAGAGAGAAATCATGAACCCGACCTTTCTTTAGCACTGAAGAACGATACAGGGATAGCACAATCCTGTAAGAGCACAGAGACTGGGCTTTGTGAAAATGCCTTATCGCCTGTTGAAAGGTATGTGTAGCATTTGTCAGTGAGAAAGAAATCCTCATTGGTTTAGTTTCAGAGCTTCCTCAAATTTCGAAATATTGGCTCCTAACCTAAACAACCTTTTTGTTTGTTTCTTTTTTTTTTCTTCAAGGTCAGTGGGCCTCAGTCTATCGCTAAAATAGGGTTGATTTGATTTAATAAATATGTTCCACTGTTAGATTTTGGCCCTGTTCACTCAAAATAACTATTCAGATAAAAGGTTTAGCTAAATTTAGAATTGTTTAGGTACGCGGTTTAGTTGAAAGGTTTAGCTCAATTTAGAATTGTTTAGGTACGCGGTTTAGTTGAACAACGGCTAAACTTTGGCATTATTGTTAACGTTAGCCCGGTTACAACCGAAGAAAACGTCAGCGGTTCATCAGTAGATGACTACAAACCAATACTCGATGTCAGAGAAGATTTACAGGTCTTGTGTGCGCGAATGGAGGCTCTTTATGTCCATGGCTATAGTTCCCTGGCTGGTAAACTAGCTGTGAAACTTGCAGAGAATATTCTGAGGGATAAAAGAAACATCTCCCATTTTGGTGCTAGGAGCAAGAAAGAAGGTGCAAGCATAACATCGTTTACAGTTACTATTCTGGTGAAAGCTGGTTTTCTGTGCAATGTACTGGCAGAAGACCTGCACTGTCATCACTTAGCTTTCAGAGTTGGTATGTTAGGACTGGAAATTCCAAGGCATCCGGCTAAAAGTAAAGCATTGGAGGTAATGAGCAAGTTATTCTTTATCGCTGGTTAAAACACGCGAGTGTCGTTTTTTAACAGTGTGTGAATCTTATCTCGGTTTGTCCTTGTTGAACCTGTTTGCTGATCACCGTTGACATTTAACTCTTTTCGTGAATAGTAAAATAGCTTCTTAAGGTCAAAACTATTTTTGAACCGGACGTTATTTGAACGCTTTCATGTCAATTATCACGAATGATTTAAGGACTCGTCAAATAAGATTCCATACCAAAGCAGTCACAATTGCCAATCAAAGAAAACGAAAATACCCCTAAAGGAAAAAAAAGGGGAAAAAAAGGGAAAAAAATACCCCAAGCGCGGGAAAACGCGGGTGTGACCAGGTCGTGATTGGGTTTAGTTTTGCATCTGATTGGTTGAGAGAGTGGCGTGACTTGTTTGAACCAATCATGGGACGAAGTGAAGGAAAAACAAAGCAATTCCGGATTTCTTGCGACACTCAACCAAAAACAGCATTGTATGAATTAATTACAGGTTAAACTTTTGCATCAAGAATCAGAGTTGGTCAGCTTGCTAAAGAAACTTCCTCTTGGACCAGCTGAACTCGCTATTGTTAAAGAGAAGGCTGGGCTTCTTCTTCACGGTGAGCTGAGAAGAGGAGAAGCTGTTCTGCCCATTATGTTGGCCTCATTCATTTTTGATGTATTGAGGTCAAGCGATACTGACACAAAAGCGAAGCGGCAAGCTGTAAGGAAACTATGCGAAACAACCAAAGAAGATGAAGAGCTGGGATTCAAAGCTGCTCTGTATGCTATAGGTACGGTAAACAAGCATAAACTGAAGGTCATTACATTAAATCTAGGGGTCAGGAAAAGTAGAGGGGAATATTTCTATCTACTACTGGGAAAGATAAACTTGCTAGTGGACAAATTCGTTTTTATTTCGTCGCCAATTTGTTTTAGGCATTGAACTTTGTGCGATCATACATTTAACATAGCCAGGAAGGTCGCCCGATAAAATCATGTATTTACTTAGTCTCCCTTGCAGCCCTTTTTTCGCTTGCGTGACGACGCCGGAAAGGGCCGTAAGGGAGACTAGTATTTACTCTATACCTCTTCTAAACAATGAAAAAATTGTCGTATTTCAATTTTTCCCAGGTCTTTTCAAAAGGGCTTGCAAGCAAGCGCCAGTTGTAACAGGCATGGACTTTGCTGACTGTGTTCTTTTAGGTTTCGGCGAAAAAATATTTATGGACGGTATAGAAGGGTTTATTCATAATGATTTCTGTCCTTCAATTATGTTGCCGTTGGTAAATTTGAATATCCATCAACCTTATCATGCACTCAAATCGGATATCCACAAAAATGAAGAATGAAATCAAATTTGAATTTGTAGTGACACACTGACTCACCGCCCTCTCTTTCTATGTAGAATCGGAGTTTCGGAATTTTGTGAAAAGAAGAATAGAAAGCGCTTGGAGCAAAGACAGTAGCCGATAATAATGTGAAGCCCATCTGCCATCTGCCATTCAAATTTTGATAAAGTAACCCTCGCCAACCCCCCTCCCCCCTTTAAGTAGTGGGGAGCGTTTGCTCTCTGTGAGTGCTGTGTCCCAATCTTTCTTTAAAATATCGATTTCTTGTTTCTCGAATGCTCCTCTTACTAGGAATGAAAGGAAATGCACTGGAGAACCGCTACCCCATGTTATGTGAAGGTACAAGACAACAGAGAGGAGACCTGGCATTGGCCCTACTTGTTTACAGTAGGGACGATTCGAGTAGGATTCGGCAAATCATGGATGTCCTTTTAGACAAGAATCGGTATGACCTACCGAATGCTGCTAGTACGGCGCAGGAAAAGAAGAGAGTGGAGCGATCTAATTCTCAGGATAGTAAGGGCGAAGGAAAGGAAAGCGTAGCAGTAGGCACCAGTGTTGTCAAGAGCAAAGTTACTATAGAGCTCCCTAACCGCAAAGATAGGTAGGAAATTAAATTATGTTTTCGGTTGGTATCGTCGAGACCTTTGCCACAAGTTATACTTTCCTTTATTAATAAAAATTATTACAGAGGTGTAGTCTTTGTCTTTTTCTTTTTGCGTCATGCAAAACGGTTCAGTCCAGTTCTGGTTTCCTCTCTTTTGTAGGTCTAATTAAAAAACTGAGAAAATTTTCTGCTCAACCCCCTTCAAAATAAAACATTTTTCGATTCAGTACTCTAACTAATCTATTTCTTAGACTTAGAACAGATTTAGTGTTTATTTATTTATTACTCCCGACGACTTTACTTTTACTCACGGGAATCGACTGTAATATTTGTATTCAATCCATTACATTTTCTGCAACATATTTTTCTTCCTCTTTCTTCCACAACATTAGCCACCAGTCCTCCAGCACCAGTGATAGTGGCACAGACAGCAGTTGTAAAGATAGTTCAGGAATAGACAGATACAAACTCCGAGGAGGAAATGAAAGTTCTTGTCAGCAAAGATTCCCAGCGAGTTTTGCTTCGTTGTCATTGGATGAAGAAAGCGGAAGTTCAAGTGGAGTTGATACAGATTCTGTTCCAGTCCCTCACCATGAGCTGGCAGCGTATGAGGTCGATCTTCAGAGAACTAAGCAGAATGCTGTCGTCCGTGACGTAGGCATTCTCCATTCAGACGGACCTTTAACGCAGTATGATCCATTTATCAACAGCAGTCAACATTTTGAGCCTGGCAGCGACACATCTTCCTTTCCTCGATCAGATACTGTTCCCCAAAGTAAAGAAGACGTCATAGACGTGGACCACCTTCATAGACACGCGTCTCTTGTAAAGGATTCGGATGCTTTTCCTCCAAACCAAAGCGCTCAAGAGAACAGTGAACCTAACCTTTGTGCTCCGAGTGTCAATGTTCCATGTCCTTGCGAAGGAAATTCACCATCACTACTCTTTGAAAGTGTTAATCGAAATTTCCATCGTCATTCAAATGACACAGAAGCTGTTAATTCCTCTTCTAAAGACAAGCCAGACCCTAACCAAAGGGTCATCCTGGCCAGTCATGGCCTCTCGTCTGAAGGTGATGTGTCGGACATTGAAACAGACTTTGATGAATGTCATAGCCGTGTTCAGCAGGAATTGTTGGAAGAAATCGAAGTAAGTAACAATTTAGTACATGAGGGTGAAACGGGAGAGGTTGGAGCTTCACCGTCAAGTGGTGCCATCGGTAACGAAGTGTTAGACACATCTAATGTATTATTTCGAGGTGGAAGTATAGCTTCTAGTTCAGTTACTGAAGGTGAATCTTTCAGTGGAGATGCTGCTGTGACAGCTCCACCAGAAGTAGTGGAAGAACAATCTAGTGGATCCGGCTCCAGAGGAAGCGTTAGCGCAGGTACAGAAGATACTAACAGAAGCCGTCGTCGTCGTGGACGAAGGAGGAGGAGGGGAGGCAAATCAGCTCTGTATCAAGCAACTGAGGCTGAAGCTCATTTCATGTTTGAACTGGCTAAGGCTGTCCTTTCTAAGGCTGGAGGAGGCAATGGCACCTCTGTGTTCACACAAACAACAAGCAGCGATGCTCAAGCTGGGGTCCATCGAGTACTGCAGCTGTGTGCCTTTGAAATTGGACTTTTTGCACTTGGATTGCACAATCGTACTTCGGCAAATTGGTTGTCGCGAACGTATTCATCACATGTCTCTTGGATCTCGGGTCAAGCCATGGAAATTGGCCATCAAGCGATAACACTTCTCTTTAAAAGTTGGGAGGGTAACTTGACGCCCTCTGAGGTTGCGTCCATTGCTGATCGAGCATCCAGGTCAAATGATCGGATTATGGTGCGTGCTGCAGCGGAACTTGGACTGTCGTGTCTTCACATGGCAACTACTCTCAATCCGGGGGAGATTCAGCGGGCTTTGTCTCAGTGTCGCGAGGAGGATGTGCAGTTATTGGAACAAGGTTGTCAAGCTGTTGAAAGTGCAGCTCGGGGTGGCGGAGTGTATCCTGAAGTTCTGTTTGAAGTCGCTAAGCACTGGTACCACCTTCACGAGAAGAACCAAACCAACAATAGCTCAGCTTCCAGATCAGGGAAAAGCGAATCAAGAAGCAGAAGCTCTTTGAACAGATCTTCTCAGTCTGTAGCAACTTCTGGCCATTCCCTTCCAGTGAGCCCGTTTGTACCCCAGGTACCTCAATTTACGATGCCTCCATGTTATCCCTCCATACCTCCTCCTCTGTACACCACGCCCGAACAATACGTACAGCAGCAGATGCACCAGCAAGTCCATCAGATGATGGGATATTATCCCGCCTATTTACCAGGGGTATCTTCAGGATACCGTTCTTACTCTCATACGCGATCTTTGACTGGGCCTCAACATTCGTCATCAGGAGGCTACTCAGGGCCTACTCCTCCATCGTATCAAGCCACCAATTTTAATTCAAGTTCAACTCAGCATTTAAATCGCGTATCAGCCACACAGCAAGGGACACACGTTTCGTATCATCTGAACAGTGCATACCGGGTAGGCATGTTAGCGCTGGAGTTCTTATCCAGACGCACCTCGGATGACCGGCCTAACGTGAAATTTTCACGGAATCCGAATTGCAGCGATGACATCAGGTGGTTATGTTCTTTGTCCGCCAGGCTCGGTAATTCGCACCTCCAGCGATTCTGTGTTGCTGCATTAAACGCTGTGGCCAGCCCATTCGTACTACACGACCTTGCTTTGGAAGCAGCGAGACATATGGCGCGTTCTAACCCAGCGCAACTAACTGCAAATCTACGGTCTCCAACCATTAGTCCTTTAGTACAGAAGAGCTTGACTATGTATGCGCAGTGTATCCATTACAACTTGTTCAAAATTTCTCAGAGTGAGTACGATGAGTTTGTTGAGCTGCTTAGACACGCTCGTGGGGCGTTTTGTATGGCACCGGGTGGAATGACACAGTTTAACGAACTCTTGCAAAGTATCCGCAGGGGACAACCCAAGAAGAAAGAACTTTGGCAAATGATTATGACTGGACTAGCCAAAGCCTAGCTTTTGAGCATAAAACGCTCTGAATGCTTTGATAAATTGTTCGGCTCTAAATATTTTTTTTGTTATCTTAAATCTGGCATCGTTATGAACATATTGGAGTTGGTCATAATCAAAGAAACACCAAGAAGAGCTGGATGAAGAATGTTGTTGTGTTGTATTTGAGACACTATCCTTTTCGCATGACTAGTTTTTTTTTGTCTGAAGCAAGGTTCAGGCGTCAATTCTGATCATGTGTGGGTTAGAGAGGGAGAGAGCCGTAAGAAAGCTTGCTTCTCATTTTGCATTGTAAATCATAATTATGTTAACACATCTTAGTATTGTTGGTAGCCTTTGTCATCATTTTTATGGAGATCATGGCTTCGAAGGGTCAAAGAATGTTTATTAATACGCTTTGTTTTTGTTGTCTAAAATGTCATCACTTATTATGTTAAATACGGTTCTTGCACCGAATTTAAGGGCACTTTTCAAACGGACGACTTCGTACTGTTTTAGCATTTATAGACAAATTCTTTAAAGTTCTTGGATGAAACCGCCTCTGCCAGAAAAAAAATTTCTGTTACACTTTTGAAACCATTAATACAACCTTATTTAGATGTCCCTCATGTATCCCAGGGATCCAGAGATATTTTTCTCGCTATTATAAAGGGATCCCAGGGATCCAGAGATATTTTCCTCTCTATTACAAAGTGATCCCAGGGATCCAGAGATATTTTTACTCTCTACAATAAAGGGATCCAGAGATATTTTTCTCGCTATTATAAAGGGATCCCAGGGATCCAGAGATATTTTTCTCTCTTTTCCAAAGTGATCCCAGGGATCCAGAGATATTTTTCTCTCTATTATAAAGGGATCCCAGGGATCCAGATATATTTTGCTCGCTATTATAAAGGGATCCCAGGGATCCAGAGATATTTTTCTCGCTATTATGAAGTGATCGCAGGGATCCGGAGATATTTTTCTCTCTATTATAAAGGGATCCCAGGTATCCAGGTATCCTCTATTGTAAAGGGATAAAAGAAACCTTTGAAACCAGTTAGTAGTGAAATTCAACTATAATGCAAGAATTTACTCAAATAGCTCTTAAGGTCGGCACACACGAGGGGACTAGTCCCTGCGACTAGTTCCAGCGACCAGTTTCATGCGACTAGTGCCTTCGTGTGAACTACACATTTCTGTGGTCGCAGGGACCAAGGAACCGGGAACAGGGAAAAAAATTAATAGAATAGGTACATGGCTTGAATGTGGATCAAATGTATTTTATTCCAAAAGTTCGCCGCTTCGTACGCTCTGCGTAACTGTTCTGGTATCTGGTCGTTTTGTACCCAAGTTTGAGTCGATTCGCACCTAGATTTGAGTGTATGGCTCCAGCCCTGGCCGCGCCAACTTTTTTTGTTTCTTTTTTTTTTTCTTCTTTTCTTTTCCTTTTTTCCCGCCATCGATTTTCATTCTACTTGAAAGGATGTGTTAGATATCAAGATTTTTATAATTTTTCTGTTACCAATAGAGCGACATGATTTCAATTCAAACAAATTGTTTAATTTGGTGAGCCGCACAGTGAAATACCATTCGCTAAATTGACCAACTATAGCCCACGTACTGATTGAGCGACTATAAAACCCCATTCTATTCCTGCATGAAGCCGTAGTCCCAAATGGAATTTATTGCTCTTTTTTTTATCCAAGAATGGTATGAAGAGTCAAGTGTGGGGTTTTGTGGAAATCTTGCTCATTTTCTGTCAGGTGTTCTTGAATGCACAAGGTAAGTAAATCTAAAATGCCCCAACAGATTACATCCAGCACTCGTACACTTAATGGACCTATTTCTACATGACTTGGTGTCAGTTTTCCCGTGACCGTTGTCACACGGGTTATGCAAATCTCACGTAAACCGCGGAACCACTTTTATGTGGGCGATCCCTTTCGTCAGCAGCTTTTCACGGCAGAATTCTTGATTAGGATGTCGTTTATTTTCTTTAATTCGCGACACATCTGCTCCTATCCAGACCTTAAAACTTCCCTTATAAACGAAGATTGGATGCAGGTTCCTGCCTCCCACCGCATTTCTATGGCTTGTTGTGCATAGCATTGAATGTCTGGCCATATTTATCCTTAATATTATCGCCATAATTGTATTTGCGATGCAGTGCCAGATACAGCGCAGGAGGTACATACTTGATTATCCATCTAGCAATAGTCGATCTTTTCGTCGGAGCATTTGTAGGAACTCAGTACTTTGAAGGAATGGTGAGGAGTCTCTGTGATCTGTGGGACTTCATTACTGGCCTGATATAACTTGGTTACTTTTATTAGAATTTGTCGCGAGATTTTGAGTCTATCAAGTTTCCTTGCGTAATCTCGCTTTTATTTCATTAGAACGAGCACAAGCAACATTTCGTCCTCGCAAGGATCGTTTAGTTAAGAAATGGGTTTATGGGGTAATAACAGTCATTTGGTTGGTACCTATGGGCATGAACGCTACAGCGCTAGGACAAGTCTAATTTAATAATTTTAATTTATTAGCTTCGCCAAAAAACAAACAAACGGACAACAAAAGAACGTTGGCAGGGACACCGCAACAGCTGTGGCCAATTACAGCGGGCCTGGACAGTAATAAAACAAGAAATATTAAAAAGCACAGTAATACAAGAGAAACAACAGCTACATACAACAACGGTTATTGGACGAGACAAGGGACAATAAGTGCCAAAGTTACTTTCGTACTGTTGGCACCTTGGTATACAATTTAGTCAGTTTTTTTCATATTATTTTATCCTTTTTTTTTAAAACTGCATGCTATAGTTCTATTTATATCAAAGTTTGTGACTGTCGTCCAATCCAAAACTATAGCACCAGCCTGAGGGAAAGAAAACTGTTTAGTACATTGTTTCTTGTCACCCTGGGGTTGTTACTAACGGTTCTGCCGCGGTCACTTATATCTTGAGGTGAGTTTTGATCCAAAGCTACAACTTCAAAACCTCTCCAAGCACTCACTGTTTTATTTCCACACGGTAATATTGACATTTTTGGAGGACAACTCCCTAATAAATCCCTTAATCTGTATCATGCGGATGCAAGAAGCGAGACGAGGTGTAGGGCGAATCATAATCCGCAAGGCTCCAAACCGTTGAAGTTTCAAGCCCCGTTGCAACCCCATTTCAAAGTATCTAATTGCCTAGTACAAAAGTGCAACACACGTTGTAACCGTTGGTAAAATACTTTCGTAAGACCATGAGATTCGGCATTTATCATAATCGTCTTAGTTGCTTCAAATGTGATTGGTAGGCGAATTGCTTTGTTTATCGCCAATTAATCAGTATAACTGGTTGTGATCGGACACCCGTAGTTATACAGTAATCACAGCAACAACTTGCCATCTAAAGCCGAAGATATCCCAAAATGGCGGAATTTATTGTAAGAGACAGAGCCACGCTGGAGAGATTTTCCCGAGATTTAGGTTATTCGCACAGAATCATGGTTATGCAAAGTGACCTGTAAAGCTGTAAAGAGTATCGTTTTCAATGGATTAAGCATTTTTGACAACTTTGAGAGCAACGGTGTGTTTATTCACCAGATGTTTTTTCTGTTCGGAGCCGAAATATAGAAACTGAAAGACTTGAGCAACAAATGTCATTGATCTTAAACTATAACGTTTGTGGTAACTTTACTCTTGCAGTTGTAGGTCAAACAAAGCGAACTCTACATGATTGAAAGAAAGCTCAATTAAGATAAAAGGGTTTCTTTTACATCAGCTTAACAGCACTGAATCATCATATTATTCTAATGATCTTGATTCCGGACAAACCATAAACCATGATGATTACGGAATTGTAGTTTTTTTCGTTTTAAATTGAAGCGTTGTAAGAAATATGCACAGGAAATACGTGTAACATTGATTATTTATGGAAACAAAGCGTTTTAAATTCATTTTTTCTTTTTGTTTAACCGTTAAACTTGCCAGGTTCGCTAGCGGGTGCATGTCTTCAATTGACTACAATTTTGTTACAGTATTTTCAACAGTCATAATTTAATAAATGTTTGTTCCTTTTTCAATCTTGCAAGGTAACTCTTCGTAAAAAATATGGGCTGTCCTTACCCGATTGAACATAACTGTACCATTGAAACTTTAACCATTCGTTCTCATTTATAAGTCGTTTTGTGAATTGATGGTAGCGACATTACTCATTAAAAGAAGAAAACGAAAGTAAAATGCAGATCCCTGCCTCCCACTGCATTCAATGGTTTTTGTTTTGTTTTGTTTTGTTTTTTTTTTTTGTTTTCTCAGAGTTGATGCGTGGGCATAGTCATCCTATATATATTGTATCTATGATGTGGCACCAGCCACAGAACAAGAGTAACCATTTAATCTGATTCATCCATCTGGTCATAGTTGATCTCTTTCTTAATCGAGGTAATGCATGTACCTCTGTGAATTAAATTCGTCGGAAGCAATTACGTTGTTTTAGTAAATAAAAGAATGTTTCCATGTCCACCTCGTTACGCTTGAAAAGTCGGGCTCTTAGTCATGCATGCCGGTTTATAGATAGGATATGACGTAGATATTTGGAAAGTGCGAGACGCTCAAGCATCTTTTCATGAGAAATTCTATCTTAAGATTTTGCTGCTATAGTTTGAAAAGCCTTCCATGGAGCTATGAGAGACATATGCAGGCTAGAAGAGATTACTACAAAGTGGGGACTTTCAAGACAGATATTTCTTGCGTATTGCAAAGGTTTGTAGAGATGCATTTCAGTTTGAATAGACCAACAAGGAGCTTAAGATGGAACAGAAGTTAAAATAAAAATGGCTTCCCATCGCTGTGGCCCCTGATTCCTGAACCTAGCGGGTCACATTTTTTTGGGTCCTTGTCCTTACTCTGAGGGTTTTTCTTCCCAGCATCAAACCAACACTCTCAATTCCAGTCAATGCTGAAAAATAATGGAGAAATAGAGCTCTTTGATGAGTGTCTGCTGTTAGATACAATTGATGACTATAAAAACCTTTAGATTTTTTCTCTGAAGAAATAGCAATTAGGAGCAGAATGCAAAACTATGGCAAATTTCTTCGTGCGGTGAAATTACAAACAACAAGGCAGCGGGACAAAGTTTGTTAAACCACACGTCTATTGTAACTCTGTTTCATTCATTTATTTGTTTAGTTATTTATTTCATTGTTTTAATTCCTTTTTCCTGATTCTCGATGTACTTATTTACTTCTTCAAATAGATAGTTAGGTACCTAGGGATTCCGCTGAATAATCATATTGCCAGAATTAAGAGCCGGTATTTTAAAAATGATATCACAAAATAGCACTTGCGTTTATTTGTGTTGAACCATTAGGGTAGAAGTATCTACCTGCCCACAGCCATGCGTATTATATCTTGACGTGTGCAGCTAAATTTTGCCACAAATTTTCCCTTGGCCTAGAAACTTGTTTAGCCGCGAGTCGCAAAACTTTCAAGATGGATAGTCAGTTCCATCCCTATTAAGGTACGCTCTTTAAAGCTTGAACTGAAAATTAAATATGTTTAAAACCACAGGAGACTTGCCTCTGGCTACGCCTCGAGCAACCCTTAAGCCTGTTTTGTGCTCTCCAAACTTTACGCGCGCGTGCCTACATACCTTTGTAGACGCGCTTTGATCATGAAACACATAAATTTTTCAACCTTTAAACCCGTGTCTATAAGTGTTTATGACAGCACATTCATAACTTTAAACAAAGCTAGAAAATTATTATTCTACAAATGCTGAAAAGTTTTCTAAACCTCAAAATGAAATTTTCCTCGTTTTATGATTCTTCACCATGAATAAATAAGTTCGTTTTCAGATGTTTTCACATGACCATTGTCCTTGATACTGTCCAACGCCGCCATGATTTCTAACAATGCTTAATGGTCTAACACATTCAAGACGAGAAATTCTTGAGTCTTTTCCTGAAACAAAACGTATGCAATGAAGAGGGAAATGTTTTTAAAATTTATACGAAAACTTACTCATCTCATACAACCTTAGACTACTTGGAAAACAACTTCTATAGAAAGTAAATACTCACCAGAATTCAATATCGGAATGTAATTGACCATAAAATTGACCTAAGGTTAAAGGACGGTGTCTGCTATTGCTACTGCGCACACGGGCTGCGCAAAAACACGCTATGGTCTAAGTGCTTGCACGTGGGTGGAAAAGCACGTCCCCCGCAATGATCGAGCGAGAGACTAACCGCAGCTCGGTGAAAGGGATTTTTATCTCTGTAATGGTTTAATCATGCTGCCTTCGATTCAAATCGAAAAGAAAATTTAGTGGACAATTTAGTCCTATTGAGAATCAAGAGGAAAATGAGACAAATATTTTACCTATTGACTCTAAAGTGTTTCGCGTGCCTTTGGGGAAACAGGAAAAGAACACACAGTGAACAGTAAATTTTTCTGAAATCACCTTATCTCAAAAACTAAGTTCCTATGCAAGTATTCAAAAGAAAAAACAGATAGATGTATTTCAAGTTTTATTAACGAATCAAGATAAAATACAAAAATTGCTGAATTTGTACGCATTTGTACTAACACGCGTTTGAATCACTAGTTACCCGGTACTGTGGATAAGAAGGTAGACGAAAATGACTAAGAAATATCTCGAGACAAAAGCTTTATTCAAGAAAACATTTCTTGATCACGATGGACTGTCAGAAGCGAAAAACGCACGAACTTCCCACGAGTGCTAAGCCCACGCACTAAAATTCTCCATGCAATTGACTTCGCCGAGAGAGTTGTACGTTTTTAACTTAAATTTCCAATTAAAAGACACTTTATTTACCCGGCCGTTGAATTGCCAATTAGTCGCCAGGCCTTACTTGATGTCAGAAACTTCGGTTTTCATTTAATGGTCATATTTGCATCATTTTGGAGAGTAGAAGTGTTCTTGACTTCAAATTAAGCTTATTCCATCGCTTCTTGGAATTTGATAAGCATTATTTTCCAAACAGAGTATTCTGTAACATATATGAGGAAAGGAACGGAAAAATCGAACTTAAAATAATTGAAAGTCATCTTCGTGGACTTTAGTTTGAGTTGGAGCGGAGTTTAGTTGGTTGTGAATGCATTAGCACTACTTAGAAGGGGAGTAGGGGTTAGATAGAGCGTCTCTCACGCGACACAATTGCACTGCACAGGTGTCAATGTTTTGACTTACAGTGGAGGTGTTAGGAAAGCTTGAACAGAGTGTGGTGACAAATTTTAAAACAATTTTAAAGAAAGAAAACGCGTGGTGACCCCTGTTTTTTAATGACAGCGAGCAAAAGAAAAATGCCTGGAAAACGCGTAATTATTTTCATTCAATGCAAAAACTGTTTTGCTAGTATTTTTGGTTGTGCAAGTCGGAGAGTGATCATGGCTAAAAGTGGCCTTAGTGCAATCATTTTGATGCTAAAAACTTACATTACCCTGTTCTGAGGATCGTGTTTTGCTTGTTATTTTAATGATTTTTACATAAACCATTGGTTTCATTTTAAAAATCGAATTCCAATGTAACTGACGGGAAAATTTTATTTTCCTTCATTTTTCAAAAAAGCAACATAAACACTTTTTCAGATTTCAAACCTTAGTATCTCGGAATCTTGCTTTGCTACCCCAATTTTCTTTCTGGATTTTGAAAGCCCTTGATAAGATCTATTTTGCTTGCTTAGTCATTGGCCGGGCAAAATTAGATCCCACTGTCCTTAAACGCTTACACAAACGAGACAGAAACGATGCCACCCTGTGTTTTTTACTGCTCATTATTCAAACGAAAGGTCAGGTGGAGGCCAAGTATTATGTTAGATTTAGTCGTTACGATAAAATAAGTCTTTTCATAAACATCATGACCGCTGCAATATCTTCTTGTAATGGGTTCACTTTCAAGAGGGGTTTTAAAAATGTTTGCTTGATAATTAAATCAAATCTCATCGGCTGAGTTTTAATTTTCATGGTGCAAAAATCCCAAATACAAATTGTTTATCTCACCCATCTGGCCACTCTACGATTGGACGAAAACAGAAGCTAAAATACTGACGCCTTAACCACTTGTTGACTGGCAACACCTAGCAAAAAAGCGCACTTGTGTATATGTCTTAATATCGCGTGCTGATGTTCCTATGAAGGTCATTGATCATTCATCCTGTGAAACGATTCGTAAGTTTTATTGTTCAACTCAGTCGTTAATTTCAAGGCATCTTTGTAAATATTGACTTGACATTTGAGGAAATAAATTTGAAGAGCCCTTATCTGCATTACCTGAATGAAAGATTCCATGTGTATTGAGCTGTGATATATAATTTTTTTATTTTTCATTAGCCCAGGCCAGGAATATCGATGGCGAACAAGCTAAATTTAAACACGAATTTTGATGAGTCTTCAGCCCCATCATGTTTTTATTGACTTTGCTGCTAGGAATGGTCCATAAGATGTTCATATGATTCTTGATTGCTCCGTAAGGAAACCTCCTCAACAATCCCTGTCAATGTGAAATTTCTCTTGGTAAGTCCATTTACTTACTTATGCTAAACCATGAAACTCACGTTGATAGAGTTCCAAAGGTCGTCCTGTCTAAGAGTAATAAATTTAAGGAAACAGTGTCTGAAATATTGCCCGGGTCGGCTGAAGACACGAATAATTGGTAATGCAAACTAAAATTACAAAGAACTCAAACACCAACGCACGTGGGACTTTGATGAATACAGAAAAAAAAAATTGTAATTCTTTGTCTTCATGATAGTAACAGAGCGAAAATCAGGATTGTGAGAAAGAAGCTAATATTGCTCCGCAAAGAACAATCTGACGTAGAATGTATACAGTTGCCACGAGTGTTGCTTATTACGGCAGGTTTTCTTTGCAAATCTTTCCCTTAGGCAAATTTACGTACTTGAAACAAAGAGGTATGTCTGACAAAGAAGAGATTTGTCGAAAAAAAAAAACATGATACATAATAATTAAATTGAAAATTGCAGAACCACCTGTGTCCAAAATTATGTTATGTGGCACGACCTTTCGACGTACGCTTTTTGTCCTTATCAGACAAATCAATAAGCTTGGATCCAGATACGAATTAAAGAAAAAAAAAGACAGAAAAAATTGCAGGTGACATGAATGCAATGGTAAAAAAATATATCGATGAAATAAAGAGTCACGCAAATAGTTAAACATGATAAAACTCCACTCATTTTTGCACTTGGAGCTTAATTCTGAAATGAATTGTACTTCAGTAATAGAGTTCTCGGTAAAGTTTTTTCAAAAGCAATTGTTCTTCATGTTATTCTTATAAAGAATGCAGTAAGATTGTGTTTGCTGATGCGTTGCTGAATACTGACGTAGCGCATTAGAGAACAAAATCATGCAATATACGCAACAGAACGAGACACAATATCGACAAAAATCTCCGAGAAGGATGTAATTGTGACGCATCAGCGTTCCCCTGGAGTGTTTAAAGGCGAGAGGGAGCGGTTAACTGGCATACCAAACACAGCACAAGTGCGTTAGCTTACCAAAGTTTTCTATCAGGCTCGAGGAATAATTTGTTCGATCAAAATATACGGTCGCTCGATCGCCAAGAAGCCGATACAAGATAACAAGAACGAAAGTGTAAACTATAATACTTACTGAGGTAGGAGAGGGTAGTAAGGTTAAGATCAAAAAAGGGGAAAGCAGATGCAGAGTTGTAAAATTGAAAGGACTTGCTTCAGTAAAATTGACCCCCTAAGGCGTTTGTGGACATCAAAGACTGCGGAGCTCATGTTCGAAAATAGTTTCTCAAATAGTTTTTTTTTATCTCTTCTTCATAACCCATATTGCAAACTCACAATAAGAAAGATGAGCTTTCGAGTTGGCGACCACTCTTATGAATTTTAAGAGGTGAGCCGGATTTGTAAACGTTTGAGGCCATGTTTCATTGTTTTCCTTGGTTCTAGAAATCTAATTTGGTTTGTTAAAATCTGATTTGTGTCGTCTAAGCCACCTAAAAAGAAAACCTAAGACTCATTCCACTTAAAGCCCGTGAAACAGATCAATCCGGTCCACGAGATACCCAGGGAATCTATATTTAAGACGCGCTAACACTAGCTTCTATAGTCGAAATCTTGGAGAACTGACCACTCATATCCGACGTCGGATCAAATTTCAGTCTTAGAGGGGGGGATTTTTAAGCTTGTAACAATTTTTCAACCATGTGTGCTTTACTTATTTCATTTCTTGTTTTTTCAGCTCCTACTACTGATCCTAAGCAGCGCACAGTTTCCTTTAGATCGCCTTAAACTCAAGCTAACTCAGAAGATCTTCATACGTGGTACAGTGTATTCACTTAAACTCACAGTAAGATTTAGTCCTTTCTTTCTCACCTTTTCTGTAGCTAGCATATTTCACCATGTTGTTGCTAATGGTCCGTTGTAAGCCGGCTAGAGTTTGTCAGGATGCATTTCTTGAGACAGAAGATCATTTTCTAATGAGATTTTTTATCTATTGGGTGGACACCAATGCTGTCCACTAAAAGGTTTAAAGTTAAGTCCAAACATGGTCGCCTGTGATATGCTTCCCTGCCTTACAATTTTGCACTGAACGTGTCTCCTCATTTCATTCCTGTCAGCTTAAATAAGACAATGTCTTCGATTTTTTCATGCCAGAATGCCCCTTTTTTTAAATACTTTGATCTGCTTTTAGGAGAAGGTTCGCCATCCCATTCACGAATTTCTGATAACAGGCTTAGACATTTCTTTATTGGCAGCTCTTTCGCTTTCTTCATAGCAAAAACTTTGCTCTCTCGCAAGAATAAGTCTGCCAGTTTATTGCGCAACGTGAAGTAAAACGTCACCCTCACATTACTCAGATCAAAGGTCTACTAAATTCCATAACATGCTAATTATAAAAAAATTTCAAAACTTTGAATTTTATTCAGAAATGACAAATTCACAGTCAAACGACTATAGTTGTGGACAGTTCCATGACATTTTCTGGAATTACAGAAACAAACTGCGCCTACAGCAACTCTCACTGGTCTCTTACGCTCTTAAACTTGCCACAACTGTATCCGTGGACTGAAGCGGCTGCCAAAGGCGGCTGCCAGAGGCGCCTGATATGTTGACGTCTGTTCTCAACTTTAAACTGTACCCGTAATTCAGCCTGTGGGCTGCAAGTGGTCAGAAATACTATATTTCTATTTCTATTTCTATTTCTATCCATGTCTCGATATACACACGCTGGGCATGAACCAATGTTTAATTCTTAACAGATCTTAGGCGGAAAAAGTGAGTCAATAATGCCGTCTTTCTCTGCAGCAAAACTTGGACAAGCTGTAATAGAATCACGATACCTCGAAGTGAAAATAAACAATTGTATACAAGTATAGACGTATCAATGGTCAAAGTCCATCCCACATGAAGAACCTTTTTAGTGCTAAATTTAGACATAAATCATAGAAGTAGCCGACATGGCTCCCTAAATTCACTCTGCCCTCACATCGAAAAAGAATCTGAAGTGAGGCAAGCTTTTAGCGCAAGAGCGGCGAGACTGGAACCCAATTCCTAAACGAATACATTTTGTTGTGCTAAGGCATAACTAGAACATCAACCGATAAAAGTCTACGTTAGCTAGTCAGTGTTCCATGCACTTGACGAGAGAGGAGCACCAGACCATTTTGAAACAAATCTGTAGTGCAATGTTATAATTTTTTCTTTACCACTCAATCAAATACAAACATACATAGATACCTATAAACATACATACCAACTCTCATCAACAAAAGGCTTATTCCTGCTAATGGAGCCAGTAAGGTTCCTGGACTCATCATAGAAAGACTTGCAAATAAGAAGCGGTTTATCGGAGGATTTGATAAAAAGAAAAAAAAAACCAATAGAACCAACATTACAAACTCTGTGAGGTCGCTCTAAGATATTTATACCAAAAGCGGATTATCGGAGGATTTGATTAAAAAAAAAAAAAAAACTCAATAGAACCAACATGACAAACTCTGTGAGGTCGCTCCAAGATATTTATACCAAAAGCGGTTTATCGGAGGATTTGATAAAAAAAAAAAAAAACTCAATAGAACCAACATGACAAACTCTGTGAGGTCGCTCCAAGATATTTATACCAAAAGCGGTTTATCGGAGGATTTGATTAAAAAAAAAAAAAAAAACTCAATAGAACCGACATTACATACTCTGTGAGGTCGCTCTAAGATATTTATACCAAAAGTGCTCGGCAATCGGCCTCTATATTTCTGGATCAAATGGCCCCGTCTCCTGTATATCATGTATGTAAATATGAATTCTTTGAATGACAAAATCCAAAAGATCTGTCGCTACCCACTGGAACTTTGAAAATTAAAAAGAAAACTGACAACCATTGCATCAATGTATCTTTGACTGTAAAATATTTTAACAATTTCTCTCCATTTATAGGTTGTCTGGCAGAATTCAAATTTCAGCGGTAACACGATGGCTATCTACAGCAGCAACAATAATCACAATGAAACGAGCCTCGTCGACGAGATGCCTGTTCCTGCCTGTCACTGCATCCCCTGGCTTGTCGTTTTCGGCATTCTAAGTCTGGCCATAGTCAGCCTTAATCTCCTCACCATTATTATTTTTGTGAAGCTGCCCCAGCTACAGCGCCGAAGTATATACGTCATCCATTTAGCAATAGTGGATCTCCTACTAGGAATGGTAGTGGGACCTCTGCTCATTCTTAATAACGGAGATGGGTTTTGTCATCTGTGGGAGTTAAGATCTAAACCTCTTTGGTTACTTAAACTAAGAATAGTTGCAAGCCATGTGTTTTACCAAGTCTCTCTTCTTAACCTCGCTGTAATTTCATTAGAACGACTACATGCAACAGTTCGTCCTTTGAAGCATCGTTTAATCAAGAAACAGGTTTACGGAATGGTTATCACTTTCACTTGGTTGGTACCTTTAGCCGTGAACACCTTGGAAATAGAATTAGTCTCCTTTTCTGACAATCACGTCCCTCCACATCTAATTCGTTGTTTATACTTTTTAATCCTTCTTTCTGTAATGTGCATATGTTATATTTCAATTTATATCAAAGTTCGTTGTAGTCGTCATCCTCAACACCATGGTGCAACCGGTCTGAGGGAAAGAAAACTGACAAGTACATTATTTCTGGTCACCCTTGGATCATTGTTGACTTACTTACCAAAGGTGATCTTCTGGGCTGTGTTTAATATTCCGGGGCTAATTCATAGTCTTCCCAACGAGATAACCTTTAATATTGCTATGGTAATGCTGACATTTATGACATTCAACTCGCTCATAAATCCTATAATTTACGCCATACGGATGCCAGAATTCATAGCAGGCATAAAACAGATGATATTTCGTAAGACTCCAAACCGCTTAACCCCGGTCGATTTCCCCCTGTAAGACAGTTTATTGGTTGGTAATCTTAGGAGAATTGCCCTAACCGAAGAAACGAAGTGATAATTAGTTTTAGTATGATTATCATTACAACCATCTTTATAAATGATATCACTATCATTGACTTTTTATCAAGCCCAGTTATCTTGCAAAAATAAGATGGCTGTAGAAAAGAATTAAGGTTTAGTCACCCTTCCCGTACCGTTGTCCATAAAAGTCAGTTATTAGATGAGTATTCATGTTAAATCAAATGTTATAAGGAGGTTGAAAGGTAATCCTGTCTAATAGGTTAGGTACGTAAGCAAGTAAGTAAGTAAACTATCGATTTTTCTTTGATCTTGTTAAGATACATTCGGTTACTGACAAGGTATACATTAAATTGTGATCAAGAGAATATGAACTGAGAGAACTTATCCCCGTGAAAGATGTTTCATTAAAGGGTTTGTAGGGTACAGGACAAGAGAAACTTAGGCTTCAAGGGTAGCGCACAGAGGTTACCCTTTCTCAGCTTGTGTTTTAATCTTCTTCACCAAAAAATGTCATCGCGTCACGATATAGTGAACAAATCAAATCCAACGAACACGATCAGATTTCACCACAGAACCACAAACCAATAAGCTGTTGTTCCCACATTAGTCGCACCGCAGGAACGCGCACTAAAATTAGATTTAAACAATTTNACCCCCTTCCCCATTTCCCTTGGATTTAAAGGGACACTGTCACGGGTTGACATGCACAGTAGCATACACTCTCTCCGAGACTTGTCACGCTCGACGGCCATTATGGAAATATCAGTGAGTTGAAGAATTCTGCATATATTTTGCATTTAAATCAAGTTTATCCAAAGCGAATGCTCATGAAAGTGAATTTCTTTTACTGAGGAACCTTCGGTGATCTTTGGTAAATGTAAAAGTGCTTGTACGACGAAGCGCAAAGAAAATAGTTCTCGTGGGTGCTCGTGCAAAGGGAGCCGACGTGCTGTGTACAGATGAATGTAAATTTGGAACAAGCAATAAACCTTGCAGATACAGGGTATGCATATAAAGTTTAATACACGCATATAAAGTTGTACACATTCACTTCTTTTGTGGCTCGAATGTCCAAAAAGCATACGAAGTAATTTGTGTATTCCCTTTCTCCAGGATTCGAACGGGCAGTCGTCATCTGCCTATATTTATGAAAACCGTAGAGTTCGCCTGAGGCTTACCTGTATTTCAATTATAATATGTAGTAGAATAAACATCTGCCTCGCAAATGCTACAAATGTCTGTGATATCTGGCGTTATTTTATTTTCCTATCAGTAAAATCGCTGTCGCTGATTGACTCATAACCTGCATCAAATTTTTCCTGCAGCCACAACTTAAATGTCTTTTCTTCCACATAAATACACTTAGGGTTCCTCAGCCACGCTTTCTTGTATTCCCACTCTGTCTCCATTCTTTCGTTTCTGCCCTGAGTTAATGCGTTTACCGCCATGTCCGGATCTTCTGCCAGACGCCATTTTGAATTTGTGAATGCAACTTGAAAAAGTCAGGATGATTTTTTCAAGTTTCGATCGGCTACACGAGCATGCGCAGACCGTGGCCGTGTCCCTTTAACTCGAACTTCGCATGAACAGGAACTAATTTCAAAAGCGGGATGTCATTGCGCTTCCCTTCGGCTACCCGTAACATCCGAGCTAACGTATCAACCCATCACTGCGCGAAAAGGACTATGCACTTGGGTGAGATATGTTTACAACTGACATCCGCTGTTCAGCAGACAAAACCCGAAGGCCTTTGCGAGGACTGAAATTATTCCCTGGGTTCTAAAACATTCTAGAGAGGCAAAGAGCAACGCTCTAATTTTGCGAAAAAAAAAAAAAAAAAAAAAAACCCGCATCATTAATTTTTACGACCCATAACGATTAAATTCCCAATGTTCATATAGTATATAGTCTTGCATATTTTCAAATAGATTAAATTATTTTGGCTTCTTAAGTGTTACGCTCCTTTTTTGAAAATATTTAATTATACAGTGCTAAGGAAAAGAAAGAAAGAAAAGCTAGAGGAAAATAAGGGAGTCAGGTACTAAAACAAGAGAAAAGAACAGAAAACAGACGTCATTCCCTAAGAAACAGCCGGGGTTCTAATTTTAACGTTTCTATCACATTATAGAGCGGAAATTAAAATTTAACCCTGTAAATTTCGCTTGTAAACTGAAATTGAAAGTAATTTACGTTATGCTTTTAATTGAAATGTCAAAGAGCATCCGCACCCAAATTGCACCCAACTGAAAAGTAATAATACGCTGGATAACATCGAAGACAAGCAACGTTTTTATGTCAAAGCTATTCATAGTTTTTTTCGGTTTTCCTACCCGAAAAACGTGTTCGTTGTAATATTCGATAATGCCAGCAGCGGTGACGATGATTATATATACTAATCTTTCTTCCAAGGCTCGGAATCAAATTGGTACATACCTAGAGTATAATTTTGCATATATTACTCTTGTTCGCCACAATTTTAACTCGTATCTTCATATTTGTTACTAACAACAGCTATCAAAGACCCTGACTTATGAGAAAACGAACGAGAAAGTTGGGATGTTTCATTCCTCATTATATTGCATTCCGTGGGTCGTTGTGCTCAGCACTGAGTCCCTAGCCATAGTCGTTCTCGATGTTATCACCATTATCGTATTTTTGAAGCAGCACCAGCTAAAGAGGAAGAGTACATGCTTGATCATCCATTTGGCCGTAGTCGATCTCTTGGCTGGGGGTATCACTGGGCCCATCTACGTTGGAAAGATCGGGAGAAATTGTGGTCTGTGGGAGCACGACAGGATACATAATTATTGGCTGGTCACGTTGGGGAGAACCTTAGATTTCATCTTTCCATCTGCCTCACTTCTCAATCTCGCTGTTATTTCATTAGAACGAGCACACGCAACATTTTTCCAGTTCAAACATCGTTTTATCAGTGTATGGGTGTATACAGTGGTAACCTCTTTCATTTGGTTTACACCTTTAGCCATGGAAGGCGGACGAGCATTGCACAAATTATATTTCAACAAAGATCTTCCAGATTTAATTATTTATTTTTCTTTTGTTTTTATTCTTCTTTTTGCCATCTGTGTTTCTTATTTTGCCATTTTTCTCAAAGTCCGATGCAGTCGTCATCCTCATCACCATGGTGCAGCCGGCCTCAGGGAAAGAAAACTGACGAGTACATTGTGTCTTGTCACCCAAGGATAATTGGTAACGTTTTTGCCAAATTCGTTTTGGTTCAGTTTCTTTATTTTAAAAGACCCCTCCTTTTTTAACCTTTCCCTTCAAGTCATTTTTCAAATCGAGATGATAGCTCTGATGTTATTCGTCGCTAATTCGCTTCTTAATCCTTTGATCTTCGCCATACGGATGCCAGAATTAAGATCAGGTATTTTTACAGATTATACTCCGCAGGCCTCCACAGCGTTTAAACCGTGTAGATTTTTCACTACAAAATAATTAGTTTCCTTAAGGTTCTTAAATCTCTTTTCTTTTAATATTTGTTTCCTTTTTATGATCTCTAAAGCCGCATGAATGAGGGGAATGCACATTTAACGATCATGAATGAAAAAAATGATATGCAAAGCTAAAAGGATTACACTCGAGAATAGGAAAATAAATCTGACTAGGTTTTCCATGTTCTTTGGAAACAATTTGTGACTGTTTTGTTGTCGAAACTGCCCGAGAAAGTATATTTCCCATAAAAAACGCCGGCGGCTTCAAATAACGATAAAAAGCACTCGGGGAATCAGCAACTTCAATAATTTGTCTCAGCAGGCACCGAGAATTGATTCAAATTGCTTTTACAGAAAGGTATTGAACAAGAAGGGGATAAATAAATATTTCTTTGTCTACGGAATCAATTGTAGAAAGTCGTTAAGGATATGTCACTGAAAATTAGACCATCCCTTCAGGTTGTCATAGATGCCTTTTGAACTCAGTCTGTTTTGAAAGTGACTGAAGTCTCTGATAAATTTCCGGAGAACGCTTCAGCAGCCATTTTGCGATTGATCCGTCGTTTGACGTAATATGTCAATAATCACGTTTTAGTGGTCTCATTTAGATTTCGAGTTTTCTCGGCCGTTCAATCAATTGCTAATAAATGCATCTGGATAAAAAGAACATTTGGCGAGTAACAGAACATTATTCAGTTTCCCGATTCACCATGTTCAGAAAAAGAACATAAAAAAGGTGGAAGTCAAAATAAAAATCATAATTTTTTGTGTGACATGAGAAAAGCACGCTCTCTAAACCATTTTGACACGAAAATAAAATAAAACAATAAAAAAAAACATACAGACGGAAGCACGTAGAAAATCTAGTTTATTAGGAAAGTGTACAAGCCAAAAAATTTTTTTCTGCTAGGCTTAAAATTATCTTGCTACAAGCAGATCTTGTCAAATTAATTATTCAGATTACAACACATGATATTGGCAACTAAAGCTTCCCTCTCAAAAGCAGTAATAAAAAAAACTTATGGTATTAAAAACCTAAAAAGGAAAGCATAAAATATAGCTCTTTTATTAGGACTAAGTTACTGGTAGCCTTTTAAAAAATGATGGATCTGGTGAGTAACGCAGCTATTTTCTGCCTCGCTAAAGAATAGGAAACAATAGGTAAGAAAAGTAATATCAATCTATCTGCTAATATTTGAACTCGATCACAGTAATAGAAATATTTTCTAGGAAGCAGTGATTTTAGAAATAGCAATCAATACATCTTACCGGTAAGTACTACCTAAATGTTCCAAGACTTTTAAAACATTTCTCTAACTAGGCAAGGAAAGTTTAAGTCTCGTTTTCAGCATGTTTTTGATGTTCGCGTTCCTCGTTTAGTATTAGTTTAGGTCTTCTTCAAGGTACGGATCTTGATACAGGGGGTTTGCCATAGATGTAGCCCCTTCTTTGTCCGACTAAAAAGCAACAAAAGAAAACATTAGTACTACTCTCATTCTTAAATATGCCGCAAATTCTGACGGGCGTGGAGTATCTAACCCTGCTCGTTGGAAGCTAAATACGTAATATTATGCCATGATAAGTAAAATACTCACCGAAATCCCAAACGCGTCATCCGAGGCAAACATGTTAGTATCCACGTCACTCATGTGAAACTGATAAACAAATCACAAAAGAAGACCGATAAGAAAACCTTTCAATCACACACACTCTGTAAAAAAGAAATGCCGTCATTCACAAAGTTTGTGAATCTTCTCTTGGAGCCATAATACACCCTATACCCCACTCCAGCCCACATCGAGTTGCTGCCAGCTCAAACAAATTCCCAGGAAGC